GAGGTAGAGACAACTCTAACAACATACCTCATTGCTCCAGAACTCGAAATGTCAGGTGGTCGATCAGAAGCAGGAACAGTGATTGAAGAACGTACAGAGGTCTTCACTATTCCACCACCTCCACCACCAGTAGTGCATCACGCACCTCCACCTCCTCCGTCAGTTGTCCACCATGTACCTCCGCCCCCTCCATCGGTTGTACACCATGCTCCTCCACCTCCTCCATCCGTGCACTATCCACCTCCTCCAGAGTCAGTTCACTATCCGCCTCCGCCAGAGTCAGTTCACTATCCACCTCCTCCGCCAGAGTCAGTTCACTATGCACATCCACCCCCAACTCCAGCTCAATGGGCACCACCTCCCGCATCAGTTGTATATGCGCCGCCACCTCAACCAGTCATATATGCACCACCACCGCCACCTCAACAACATATTGAGATCCACGAATCCACCAAGATCGTCGAACGTTCTCCATCTCCAGCACGTAGCACATACTCTCATCATAGTCACCATAGCCACCACACTCACCACCATAATGACCCCGTCATATTGGAAGGACGCCCTAGATCGCGAGACGAAGAGAGCGTCTTTTACGAAAAGCGGGAAATTATTGAGCGCACAGAGCCTATCGGTGCAATGACTTTGTCACACTCTCATAGTCACCGCAAGGATGAACGCTCGATTCGAGCTGAGATTAAAGCTCTCGAGGCCGAGAAGGAAGCCCTTAAAGCGGATCGACGGGCGAACCGAGAGTTGCGCCGCGCGGAGCGTCTTCGTCGTTCAGGAGCCCGACATAGCGACAGCCAGTTGGTACTTTATGAAGAGGAAATCCATGATGGTAGAGATGTGACCGTTGTGAGAAGGGAAAGAATCGTGGAGCCTGAGGGAGGTGTTAGGATCGAAAAGGACCGAAAAGGTAGGATGAGCATCAGTGTTCCTAAACATGCCTATCGTTAGGTGTCTTGCCTGAATGAGGTGGGTCACTTGAGATCGGAATGGGTGGTTTTTGTGAATGAGAGCTAACCCACTTATTCTTCACAGCTCCTCCACCAAAATTGGTTAGAGCCATGTTGGCTACCCTGACTTAATTTCTACCCTTTTGATAATAAATACCTTTGCTTTATATCTATCACGCATTTCGAGCTTTATTGAGTCGAGATAGATTAATGAATGGCGTTGGACACATAGTATCTTATGGCTGGTTGGACGGAGCTCGTTAATTTCATGCAGGCAGAAATTGTACTTTTTCTTAATTTACTCTTTGAACTCTTTTCAAGGCAAGGCTATCTAGACTGTATCTGACATGGAGGGATTCATGGGAGGGATATTGGATATGGAGATGGTTCATACGATGATGATATTTATAGCTGCGAGTTTACGTTTTGTTTCTCTTGGTCTTCTTTTTTAGTTGGAAGATACATTAGTTAGGATACCTACCGATACGTACAGCTTTTGCACTTTCTTCCTCTCTTCTCTTTCTCCTGCTTTTTTCTTTTCCTTTCGGTGCTAAATACGTATGCATTTTGCACGTTTTAATGAAGTTACGAAATACTTTATTTTTTTTGCCTTTCTTTGGTAATTTGGATTGGTAATGGATAGGTGGATGGGGATAGATGGATGGGTAGGTGGGTGGGTGGGTAGCTGGGCAAGCTGTGATGACATCCTACCTGATTGTCGAATAGATGAACGGATGGATGGAAAGTGAGGGAGGGATATTTGAGCTAGACATAGGGAGATAGGATACAATATTACAATTATGAAATTGATGGTTTGAATGCTTGGCTTGTTATGTGTGGTTGTGATGAGTTGGTGTGAGGATGAGGGGATTGTAGGAGATGTGGCAGGAGTTTGCTTGGATATCTGATGGGTGCATGGTTTATGTGTGCTGGGTGGGTAGGTAGGTAGGTATATGTAAGGAGTTGTTAAGATACCCTATCTACCTATCTACCTAGGTATGCTATGCTATGCTATGCTAAGACGGAATCGAGTAACCCAAAATTGAAAGAAAAAAAGAAATAATCAGCCCAGAACAAATCCCTTCAGCTTTCCCTACCGACCAGCAGAGCCTTGAAAAATACTAGGTAGGTAGATGCATGGAAATTATCCGAGACGTTGAGCTTGTTTGAGACGGTCTCGATTGCTCTTTCTCTTTCTCTTTCTCTTTCTCTTTCTCTTTCTCTTTCTCTTTCTCTTTCTCTTTCTCTTTCTCTTTCTCTTTCTCTTTCTCTTTCTCTTTCTCTTTCTCTTTCTCTTTCTCTTTCTCTTTCTCTTTCTCTTATCCTGTTCACTCTTTTTGATATTCACGCATGCAGGTAACGAAATGAAATGAAACGAATTGATATCATCCGGACGACAATCTCTAGGAGTCTACTTTCTCCTCGGAGGGAGGAAAAGGAAAGAGATGAAATGAAATGACATATTATTACTACAATGTGATTTGAACTGCCCGTGCATCCATCATGAATCGTGTGAATATCTCAGTTTGGAAAGTCGAGTATTGCGGTCTTTTGGAAGATCCGGAATGCTAAGATTGTGAATACCGCGAGTAGGGATGCTATCTACTTTTCTTGGCATCTACAATATATATAAATCCCCCGAAATCATAAAACTTTATTTAAACACCTTAAACGCCTCGCTATGCACCATTTCCAATCCCATCCTGATCCATCGTGATTTCCTTCCCTATTGGCCAATTTTTGTTTTCTATTGAAATTTGAAATATTGGAGTGCGCCGTCCTTGCTAAAGTGCGTCATCTCTGATCCAGTCTGTCGTCTTTGTGTGTATCCCATCAAGCTGCGTGGTTGATAACGAGCAGTTATCCATTAGCACGCAATAGTACTGTTGATGTGAATGAATAGCGCAACACTCAAGATTTCCTCCTCTCTCTTCCCTATCCCTATCCCTATCTTATTTTCTTCGCTTTGAAGTAATCTCTTAACTGCTCCACCCTCGTGACAAAGAACATTCTCTTCGCGTCACTCTTCCAAACCAACACTCCCACCTCCTCAGCATATTTCGCACACCCTTCATATTCCTTCTGGGTCTCAAAATCTTTCATCAAAAATCCCGGTACGGCTTTCATTCTCTCGTTTTCTAATTGCCAGAGACGGATTTGATCAACGACTGTGGGTGGTAGTACAGGTCCTCCATGGGACGCGGAGGAAGCTTTGACGAGTTGAGGATGCGCATGCGTGGATAGGTAGGTAATTATTTGGTCGGATGTAATACCATGAGCTATGGCGGTACGGATAGAATCGCGAGAAACGCGGCCACTGACCATGTTGGGATAACGAGTGTTGAGTTTGGTGAAGAGTGAAAGGACAGCAATTTGGAGGGGAGAATTTGTATAAGCGTATAGGCGGTAGTTAGTCTCAATTATTATGAAACCCTTTTGGCTGGCGGCAGATTTGGAGGCGGCATCAAATCCTGCAGCCACAGTGCGGAGTGCACTGGCATCAGAGGTGAGAGTTGTGGCTAGACGTGTTGGAAAGAATTGAGTAGGGGCTGAAGGGGGGAGGTAGATTAACCCCAAGTCGATGAGATTAGCCAGCATCCCTTGTTGGGCGTCTGTGAGAGTCTTAGTGCTGTATGCACGTCCGAGTTCGAGGGAGCCTAGCATGAAGAGAAAAGAAAGTACATCGACGGAATCCATTCCCATGCTTTCAGCATTTTCAATCCATAGAAGGAGCAGAGTCCAGACTTGCGCATTGGCTTCTTGCAATAGAAATGAGAATCCAGCTTGAGTAATACCGATACTTCGACCTCTTGTAACCAATTTTCCTGCATCAAGTAGTGCCTTCACTGAATTTGCAGGCCCATTCCCATCTCTTCCTGACCCGGATGTAACAGTGTTGACCATATAATGTAGAATTCCTTCCCACTGTATCCGAGCATGTGTATCCAAGAAATCAATATCAACATGTGGCGCAATATGTTCAGACGAAGGAACTCCGAAAGATTGATGATTTCCTCCACCCGTAAGTGCCAGTCGTAGAGAGGCTCCAAAATTCTTAGTCAAAGCTACAGTTTGAGGATCTTCTCGGCTCAGCGCAGTGATGTCGACAATATGCAGCCGCGATAGTAAGGATAGGGCTTGATCTTTCTGCCTAGGACATTTTAGCATATGGCATCCATTTCAAGTCAGGATACATACTTCTTGCTCTTAGGTTGTACCCATTGATCCAGAGCTGTGAGGGGCAAAGGCTTAGGCATATAGAGTAGTGCCATCACAAAGGTTTTGGCAAGATGAGGCAGCATGCGCCTGAAAATGGCCAAAGAGGTAGAAGGTTGCTGATACAATCGCCTGAAAGTTGTACCTGGCAATCTCTCCAGGTACTCGAATGAAGCAAGAGTTGAGACAGACATATTGAAATGGTGATTGTCTATTATCCGCAGATATTATGAATTCGGCATTGCTGGTAGGAAATTCGGGAAGCTCTACAGCCTTGCAGGTAATAAGTAGCCTGATGATGGAGAATTTTGAGCTTGGACCATAACCTTATCTTTTCCAGCGAACGAATTACGGTGAAGCACTACTTCTGTATATTCACTACCTACTAGATAGATGTGCGTAACTTCCACTCTGCTTTCAGCGTCTTCCTCACATTGTACAATGACATTCTTGTTCAATTTGCAAGCTCCAAGCTTCAATTCTCCAGTGCCCCATCAATCTCGCAACGAATAGACATGCCCTGCGCTCTGCGGGGGGGTCAAACCCACGCGATAAAGAGGCTGAAGAGGACGGGCACTTAAAGTGCATGAACTCTTCTTTCGTTTCTTTTGTCCTTGGTTTTCAGCTCAAATATCAGTTAGAATATACTCACACCGTCTACCAAAACCTCTATACACTGTCTTTTGCTGGTATCAATCTATAGCGCATTGTAGCGAGTCTCTCACGTGATCACATCATGTACTTTCCTTCGTTGCTGACACTGAGAGAAATTCTAGAGACAAGTTACACTTCCTCCAGGAAGTTTCGGAATGAAAGGATCCCAACAAAATGCGTTCTGCCTCTGCCCTAGGGAAGTATAGAGGAGTACCTTTCAATTTTCAAGCTACCCCCGGCCTAGCTTCACTTTCCCCTGTCAAAACAAAACTCACCTCCAGATTCTTGTTCGACAAGCTCACACAAAATCTCCTTCTTCTTTTCTATCTAGGGCACGATTTAAAATAGGCTATTACAGTTCCCTGGTTGTCTCTATGCTATGCCTTACAGTTGCGTCTGAGACGATAGATTGGATTCTAGTTGATCACCTCAAATCCATATACGTTAAGAATGTTACCTACAAATCAAAACATTCATCGGAATCGTGTCAGTATCGAATTCTGCGCAAAGGGTACATTCTATTAGTTAGTATCAAGGCTGGAAATGCGGATGATCCGATTGAATTGGAAATGAATCATGTCAAATTTCACTCAGTGACAATCTATGGGGATCTTCCTCCGTTCTTCCCAAATGTGCCTACGTATGAAGTTCTGTCATATACATGGGGCGAATGTATAAGAAGGATACCGTGTATGTCATTTTTTGGTCATTTTGTTTATCATTTGCATTTCCTGGTTGTGTATCCATCTACTCGGAGTTGGCATAGTGCTTGGCAAGTGCTAAATGGTGCCAATGAGTCGAATGGCTGGTACCTTGTAGAAATATGTACAGAATACAAAAGTTTACAATAAATCAAGAATTTCTTATTTCAAAATTGGAAACACTTGAAGATATACACAATGCTTAGATATTCAAGTGTGTGAGGATGGGCTGTACATGTTTTCAAGGGTTGTAATGTAGATATGGTATCATTCATTCATACTTTTTGGAAAATGGCAAAAGATGGAATCACAACGGCAGTCTCAACTAATGAATACAGCAGGCCAATAAAATTGAATGGCCAACCTTTCAGTACCACACCTGACCTCCACTTTGCACTTCTCGTCCTTCGTGATAATTCCAACCCCTCCTCATTGTGGATTGATGCCAGCTGCCCTGATCAGAATGATCGATTTGAAAAAGATGAGCAACTACGTATCATGCCTCTAATCTATATCAATGCTACTCGTGTACTCGTCTGGCTTGGTGAAGACGAAGAATCAGTCGATCTACATGCTGCAGCTGAGATTATCTCTCACTTCAGTATGAAAAAGAGAGAAGTGCAATGGAAGGCCCAGTCAATAGCCAAAAAGGAACCTTTGACTGATTCTCAAACGTGGCTGCAGGAGTGGGCCCACTGCGACCGGCACAATGGGCCGGAATATGCCTCTGGTTGAAAAGCAATACAGAACATACTCGCTCGACCATATTTTACGCGATCCTGGATAATCCAAGAAATGGTGTTATCTTCCAATCGGAAAATTCTTGTAGACCATCATGATGTAACGAATATTCTCGATCTTGTTTCCATCGTTCACAACTTTCTCCAGATTGACAATCGTATTCCTGCCCAGTACCTTATTGAACCGGACGTCCTATCGCGTATCCGTCAGCTAAGCTTGGCCATGCAGACATACCGGACTGCTTTGAAGTCAATATGTGTCATTCCTGGCACCAATCGTGAGTTCAAATTCGCAGGGCAGAATGGACTCAATTTAGGAGAGCTTCTAGCTAGGTTTCGAGGGAAAAAGTCCACGTTGCCAATGGATCAGGTGTATTGTGTTTTGGGAATGACAATAGACTCCAGCATTATGTATAAAGTTCCTTTTTGGACATCTTGGAGTAGGAAACGACCAACACAACGGCTTCCACGATTTGATCACAGGCAGTCGTTGAGGAACCTGTGTACCGACACTGCGCGGTACATCCTAAAAGAAGATGGAGATTTAGGGGCTCTGAGAATGAATAATGCGCATGCGTATTCTACAAAAGACACAGATTGGCCGTCTTGGGTTCCGGATTTTTCATCCCCGTTGCCGGGACCAGGTGAGCCAAAAAGTATGCAATGGAATTTAGAGTCTTCAACATTTCCTCAAAATATGAATAAACTCTTAATTGATAAAGGTAGTAGATTGGTGGTGCATGGACATGTTCTTGGTGAGATTGAAGGGCTGGTTGGAATAACACAAAAAAATGGAGAGTATTCCGATAAGACGTGTGACAGACAGAGTGAGTTGAAGAAGGAAAATTTGTGGTTGAGCCAATATAGGGATGGGTTTGGGTTTTTACCGTTGGCGGTTTCGAGAGATAGTGAGGGACGGTACGTATTTGGTGGAACAAGTATGAGGAAGGGGGACTTAGTAGTTGTAGTTGGTAGAACTACCACAGCTACCACAGCCACGACCACGACCACGATCCCGACCACAAACATAACCGCACACCTTTCACGGTGCCATATCCACCAGTATCGAGAGTCATAATGAGACTTCAAACAGCATCGGTGATGCCGAATTCAGGCAAACATGCATTGTTGGTAAAAGCGCCTGATCGCATGTGTTGAGATATAGAAATTCTCAATTGATTTGATTGATTTGATGCTTGATAACACCCGTAGACTAACTCGTATCTACAAATCTATCTCATTAAGGTTGATTCATACCTATATAATGTTCGTTACCGGCGGATGCGGCCCAAGTAACTTCAAACAGCGGGCGGCCTTACTACGGCCTGAGAATCAGGCAAGGGTATTATTCCCTGCTCAGCCAATCGCGGTGTCCTCATGCAGAATTACCGACTTTTTTGCAACTACAGCACATTCTTATATCGACAATCTATCCAGCTTCACCATACCATTACTTCTACAACATGGCTGCTCTAAGATTCGTGAGATCAGTGAGTTGTCGATAGGCCACCAAAATATGCCAATGCTGACATCATTACCTTCACTCAATAGGTTCTGAAGTCTTTTCAAGAATCATCAGGACTTGAGCCAAGGTACTGTTTTCCATGTATTTGGGGTGTCATTTTGTAAAATACAGCTCCGGTCTGTCGTCGCAAGTGTTTAGTCGGCATTTCTTTCAAGCATGGGACTTTCAGCAAGTATCTGAAATCAATTTAGTCGTTATATGTTGCTGTTCATTGGGCCCTCGGGGGCTCTTAGGTCGTGTAATAGCATACCTCCTCTGTACTAGTTCAATCCGGAACATTTTTCATGGCTATTATGACAGCAACTGTTTTTGTAAAACAATCAACTGACATTTTGACTACAGACTCTTTGGTGAAAATGTAGGAAGAGCATTTGTTGTGTGTTTTACTGTGAAGTATTTCCATTGACTTTGAAAAGCTTCGAGTCACAGGAGCCGAGCCAGGACGTGTAAACTTTGAGCTTGATATCAAGAAGGAGCATACTGTAAGGAAAAAATTCTAAATCCTATATGAGCAACTCGTTCAATTGTCTTGTGTTTTAGAACCGTTTGAACATTATTCATGGAGGCACGATTGCCAGCATGGTGGACCTAGGTGGCTCACTAGCTGTTGCCTCGAGAGGTCTTTATGCCACGGGTGTTTCTACTGATTTGAATGGTAAACTTTATGCGACCCAATTGCGATTTCATGTATCTAACTCAACTGAAGTTACATACCTCAACTCTGGCGGTAAGGTTGGAGATGTGCTGAAAGCGGTGGTGACTTGCGATAAATGTAAGTATTGTCTCATCATTTTTTGGATATCATGTCTCTAACATAAGACTAGTCGGAAAGACCTTAGCGTATACTTCTATCCAGTTTACAAATAGCAAGGGCGAAGTAGCAGCACGTGGAAGCCATACAAAGTCAGTCGTCACCTTCAGTCTTCCAGATTCACAAGCTAAATAGGTTCATGATAGATACGTTGCGCTCGCGTGGAAAGAACCCAAGAACATAGTTGAGGAACTATCACCTCGTCCTTAAAATGCCCACGTGCTTCATCCTTATGTGTACGACGTGGCTTATTAATTCTAGCTTTTGAAGCCATCTCGGGGTCAAGTTTAGGCAATTTTGGCAAGTGTCTTTCATAGGCAGAACATATCTCGATCTTGACCCGAGCATTCGGTTACAAAAAGATTCGGATCGCTAGACAAAATAGGACATCGGGAATTTGTATGTAATTGTGGCTTTCTCCAGACTCCAGCTAGTCGGTGTATGCAATTCGTTGATAGACGATTCGCTGTTTCTGCTAAGTTATTTCGATACTAGGTGAATGTACTGTGATTGATTGGCCAATAGCAAATCAAAAAAGTCCTGATATGTACCATTTATTGTTAACCCCGCAACAACATTTAGTGCCAAGCCAAGCCTCGTAACAAGTTGGCGGGTTCTTCATGGGTCATGAGGACTGGGACAAGCATTAAATAGAATATCACACCACGTGTGATCTGATCAATTATTGGATAAACAATGCTTCTTGGAGCGTGCTCGAAATAGCACATTCACTTGTGCCATCGACATTTTGATACCCCTGGATATCTGTAGCCCGCGTTTCTGTTGGCAGTATTCAACAGTGGCTTAAGCCGCAACGGTGCGTCTTCGGCGTTTGAAAAAGTAAGTAGTGACTAGAAAAGAGTCTGAGTGAAGCAATTGGTTTGTTTGACTAATCGTCTGATTTGCTATAGGCTCGATCTGGAAAGCATGGCGTGGGCGTTTAATGCTTTGAGTCGTCCCACCCACGACTTCCAAAATTGAACCCTTTAGAGCAACTTTGCTATACGACTCGCATAAGATGTATTGTGTATTTAGATAGTTCGTGTTTATGCAGAGGTGAACATGCCAAGCAAGTACTGCAAGGCTACGGGGATTTAATCCTTCGACGGATAATTTACCCCAGATTCTACTAAAGGGACCTATGAATGTTTTTGAATCTCTCGGATTATGGGTGAATGCAGATAGATCATGCGCCTCGCCTTGAACCGTTTCACAATTAGAGCGAATCAACTCTACTCACGCTTTAGTGGCGTCTTTCAGCGAATTATCGATTTTTCTAGGAGCATGGGTCTCTCATTCACCAAATTACCCCAACATCAAACTTGAGAATTTGACACAGCACGTGTATAAAAGCAGATTATTCGGTGAATACGGCAGTGGACTGATTAATGAAAACATATTACTGCCCCACCGTAGGTATCTCGGCTCATTGCTACTTAAGTTTTCAACAGTCTAGATTCAACGATCCAACTTACAACTAACAATAACCTGAACATACCTTCTCCTGTTTGACATTCTTTGCACTTTCGTACTTTCAGAACTGATATCATCGAGGAGTCGTTCACTCAATCATAATGTGGTACACTACTAATGTCTACGTTATCTGCGCCTTCGCCGCAATAGGTAAGTAATGATCCTCTAATCCAATACAATACCAGTGAGTAACATATATAGGCGGTGGACTTTTCGGCTTCGATATCTCGAGTATGTCTGGTGTTCTTGGAACTCAAGCATACGTCAGATACTTTCACAATCCTCAATCTTACGGTCAAGGTGGAATCACCTGTGCCATGCCCGCTGGATCTCTCATCGGTGCTTTAGCTTCCTCTTTCATTGCCGATAGATGGTCTAGACGAGCTAGCATTCAAATTGCGTCCATTTTTTGGATCATTGGCTCAATGTAATTTTTGACCTCCAATTATTCGAACAAAACTAATGCTTTCCTTAGTATCCAGTGTGCTTCAATCAATGTAGCTATGCTGGTTGTCGGTCGAGTTATTGCTGGTGTCTGTGTTGGTATTGCTTCCGCGATCTGTCCCGTCTATCAATCAGAGATTGCTCCAAAGGAAATCAGAGGCCGAGTTGTCTCTCTCCAACAATGGGCAATTACATGGGGTATTCTTATTCAGTACTTCATCCAATACGGTGCTTCGACAATTGGAGGTGGTGCGAAAAACCCAGTAAGTACGTTATCACTATTGTAGGAGCTAGCACACTGATCAATATATTTCCACAGGACCAACCAACTTCTGCTTTCCGAATTCCTTGGGGTATACAAATCGTTCCGGCAGTTATCTTGTTCTTCGGTATGTTCTTCTTACCACGATCTCCTAGATGGTTGGCCTCGAAGGATAGATGGGAGGAGGCCATCAAGGTTATTGCAGACCTCCATGGTGGCGGTGACGTAAATCATCCAAAGGTTCTCGCAGAATATCAAGAAATTGAGGAGGCACTCCGATTCGAACGTGAAGAAGCTATCAGCTCTTACAAGCAACTTGTGGCCCCACGTATGATCAAGCGTGTTATCCTAGGAATGTCCATTCAGATGTGGTCTCAACTCTGTGGCATGAATATCATGATGTACTACGTCGTTTGTAAGTACTTTTTCTCGGCTGTGGTAGGGTATATCACTAATGGTTCTTTCAGATATCATGCAAGGTGCAAACATTGCTAACCCACTTATTACCGCCTCGATTCAATACATCCTCAATGTGTTGTTGACTTTACCTGCTATCATCTATCTTGATCGTTTCGGACGTCGCCCAGCCATGCTCATCGGTTCCTTCCTCATGATGACCTTCCTTTTCATTGCCGGTGGACTTCAAGCAGGCTACGGTGAACCCAACAACACATCGAAGACTCAAACTGAACAGAATAAGAATTTGACATGGGTTGTTCACGACAAGAAGGGTGTATCATCTGCCATCGTCGCTATGACATATCTATTTGTTTGTGCATTTGCAACAACCTGGGGACCTTCATCATGGACTTACCCAGCCGAAATCTTCCCAAATAAGATTCGTGCAAAGGCTGTTTCTCTTGCAACTTCGGCAAACTGGTTCTGGAATTGTGTTCTTGCTTTTGCTGTTCCACCATTGTTGAAGAATATCAACTGGAAGATGTACATGATCTTCGCTACATTCAACGCACTTGCTTTCATCCACATTTTCCTTACAGCTCCCGAGACTAAAGGCAAGACACTCGAGGAGATGGATGAAGTTTTTAATAGGTATGTACTCTCTGTTTTCCAACGCGGTCTCTACTTCCACTTTTTCTCAAAATATTTATTGAACAGAGATACTGACTCTTCGATCTCAACACAGTGGTCTCCATCCATGGCAAAAACTTCCCGAGGGCTCCAGATTAGACAGATTGGCGGCGGATATAGAAGCAGGTGCAGTCAAGGTTGCAGCTCCCGTCGGTGGTGTTGGAGGCGTTCCTGGTGAGAAGCGCACCCATCATCACGACGGCGTAGTTGCTCTAGAGAACTCTCGTCATCGTGATGGTATCACCGATGTACGACAAGTTCAACATCATGGTCTTCATGATGAGAAGGACGCTGTTGGTCGTGAGCGTGGCACAGTGGTCTAATCGTGTGGCTATTCTTCGCGATACATATACTGATGGATGCATCTATTTGCTTCTCTTCGAACACCTAATGAAGGATCATTGATAATTAGTAATACAATCTTCTATAAGAAGATGTTCTGTTCTTGAGCAAGGTCTAACACCTTAGCCGAGATTTATGGGCTGTAGCAAGATTTTTGGGGTAAATCTAGCGCGGAAATTGATTAATTTATTGATTTCCAGTTGACTATCATG